AAATTAGTTAAAATTAACTGAAATTTGAAATTTAGTTCTTCAGTCATGTGAACATTTCAAGTACTTTTTAAATTGCAAGCTGCTAATGGCCAGCAAATTGGACGGTGGAGTTACTTTTTTGCATCACTGCAGAAAAGTCTATGGGACAGTGCTGCTGTTCAGAATCTGGAGGTTTTTAAATAATTTAGAAAAGGAAATAATAGAGTCATTGAAATTGGGTTTTGTTGTTAAATGAAATAAAGAAATTCATTACCTTGTAAAACAAGAACGATATATACTATAAGAAGCGTCCAGAGGTGATTAACTTAGTGATTTAGCAATGTCTGAGCTACATGACCCTTATTTATCTTCACTCAACCACCCTCCAAGTTGGTTTCTTCCTAGGGCTTTTTCCCCTGTGATTATAACGTGGCTGCAGTAGCACAAAGCAGAATTAAAAAATATCTTAGTAATTCTTTATTCAGACTGCCCATATACTATTTCAAATTTCTGTCTCAAGAAAACTCTAATTAGAGTTTGTTTAACAGCTTTCCACTGTGGATAAATGGGTGATACAGAGAGAAACCTGTTGGCTTAGTTAGTTGTTTTCTTTTATTCAAGAGTTTAGAATTAAGTGTCTCACATGTTTAGCTCTGCTATGCCCCATCAATACAGACTTTACCTGAGGTCCTGAGCAGTCATTACTGAATTCAAGTGGTGAGGCAAATGACTTCCGCAGCAAATAGCATTTTGAATAATCCATAAGAATCATTAATTCTCAAGATTGGGAGAGCACTGATAGGTAGGTAACCTGATTCAACAACCTCCTGGTGTAATAACATAAAAATCCTCCCAGTCATCAAGATTAACTCAAATTTTAAATAAGAAAATATGATTATCTTTAAATGTATCCTTTCAAATAAGTTTAATCCCAGCATTCAACTGATATAATTCTTAGGCTAAAAAGATGAGCTCTAAGATGTCAAGCAAAATAAAACATATGATAAACTGTTCGTTAGTCAGAGTCTTTTCTTTCCTCCTTTTTATTATTTTATTTTTGAGTAACAGTTCCAGAAATAAGGATTAAAATGGTATCAATATACACAATGTTTTACTTAATGTTCCTCTATGCATGAAAAACCTGAATGGTCTTGAGTGGTCTTTTTGTTTCAGACAATTCAATTTCATAGATGTGTTTTTCTGCCTTTTAGAAAAGGTAAAGCATTTGCCACAGATTATTTGCAGATGCCTCAGATTTACTCTGGAACATCTAATTTTCCATCAAATAATTTTAAAATTAGTCAGAGAGCTTCAAGAGTTGAAGCCAAATTCCTGATCAGTGTGGCTACTTAAGGAATTTCACAGACACTTGAGGGGCCGTGCGGTGACCACAGTGACGTTGTGAGTGGGTTGGCGAAGTTTTATTTTTATCTCAGAGGGCGATGTGAACTCTAATGGAAAATAGTGGTAATTTCCTAATTAGGTTTTTGGTAAAGATTAAAACACTTTGCTCTGTTTGTGTTGAGGTTTTACAAGACATGTAGAATTGTGTAAAGCAGGAATTAACCTCCATTCCTTGGAAGCCATTGGGATTAAACCTATTTCAGACAATGCAGGCATCAGAGGGGCAGATCTAGGAATGGAATCTCAGTGTGGAGATCCCATATGGTCTCCAATTAACGAGAAGGCTTAGGCTTTCCTCATGAGTTAATTATGTTTTCTTCCTTTGTTTCCATTTGATTAAACACTCCCTAGAGTTGTATGGGTACCTACTCTTTCAGATTATGGTATTAATATTATAGTCATGTTGAGAGTCTAGCCCTTAAGGAGGTACATTAAAATATGCCAAACTTACTTTCGTTGGATTTATCTTTATCACTGATCTGTTATTCACTTCAGATCAAAACAGAGGGACTATCTGTGATACAATGTAACTTGTTATTAGGGCCTTTTTAGTGTACTTGGTAAGGCATGTGTATGTTGGGGTTTTTTTAAGGAGTCTTTCAAATATATCAAGGAGTCTTTGTGACATTTTACAAATGGAGTCTGCTATAATATATATATAATGCCTAAATACTTTTCAGGAGCTGCCATATGTAGCCATATAAGGTATTTAGTGTACAAGGACACATGACCAATGGGTGAGCGGGAGCTGAAATCCAGCCTGCTCTCTGCTCACAAAACTATGCTCCCGCATGGAATTTATTAATTGGAACTAAAGCATGCACACAATATGGGCTCATAGAAGTCTCAATACTTCTATATTATATGTAAAATACTATTGTCTCATAACTCGAGACATAAATTGTCTCAATTTATCCTTTTACCTTGATTTTTTAAAATTGTGGTTAAATATGCATAACATAAAATTTACCATCTTTACGTGTACAGTTCTGTGGCATTAAGTGCTTTCACATTGTGCAACCACCGCACCTTGCATCTCCAAAACTTACTTTTTTTGACTGAAATTCTGTACCCATTCACACTAACTCTCCACCCCTCCTCCACCCCTGGAAACCACCATTCTACCTTCTTCCTCCATGAGTGTGGGCACTCAGAGTACCTGGTAGAAGTGGAATTATGCTGTACTTATCTTTTTGTGACTAGCTTATTCACTTGGCATGATGTCTTCAAGGCCCATCCGTATTGTTGTGTGTGTCAGAATTTCCTTCCTTTTTAAGTATGAGTAATATTTCATTGTGTGTATCATACTGTATTTGTTTATTTAACTGCCGAGGGAGACACTTGGCTTGCTTCCATTTTTTGGCTATTGTGCATATTGCTATGACTAAGAGTGTACACATTTTCTTTGCTTTCAGTTCTTTTGGGTATAGACCCAGAAGGGTAATTGCCAGATCATAGGCTAATTCTAAATGTTTAATTTTTTTTGAAGAACCATCATACATTTTTCATAGTAATGGCATCATTTTACCATCTCACCAGCAATGCACAAGGGTTTTAATTTCTCCCCATCCTCCCCAATACTTAAATTCAGATGTGCTTTGTTTGTGTTTGACAGTGGCAATTCTAATGGATAGGAGGTGGTATCTGATTGTGGTTTTCATATGTATTTCCATTAATAATTAGTGTCATCTAATGTCTTTATGTGCTTGTTGGATGTTTGTATATCTTCTTTGGAGAAATGCATATTCAAGTCCTTTGTCCATTTGTTAATTTGGGTTGTTTATTTTCTTGTTGAGTTTTGTGAGTTCTATACGCTGGATATATGATGTAGTCTTATCAAATATATGACTGGAACTATTTCCTCCATTCCATGGGATGCCTTTTCATTCTGTTAATAGTGTCTTCTGATGCACGAAAGTTTTTAATACTGATGAAGTCCATTTTATCTATTTTTTCTTTTGATTTCTCTGTATTTGATGTCATATCTAAGAAATTAATGAAAGCCAATATCACTAGGCTTTTCTCATGTATGAGTTTTATAGTTTTAACTCTTATGTTTAGGTCTTTGATCTATCTTGAATTAATTTTTGTATGTACTATAAGGTAAAAATCCACTTTCATCCTTTTGTGTGTAGAGATCTAGTTTTCCCATTTTCTCTAAGCTTTCAGGATTATATATAAAGTCAATATTTTATCACTATGCGAAATAACTGGGAGATTAGGAAGGGGGTCACATATGACCTCAAGGCATACTTGAAGCAAAAGTGTACTTATACCTTTATTATCCAGGGATGGATTGACTGATTCACCATGGTAAGTGCAGCAGGATCAGGTAGGCATCCGCTGCCCTGGAGTCTGTATCGTTAGGCAGCTATTGGATGACTGCACATAGTCAGCTTCCTGATGGAGAGAGGAAAAGAAAAGCCATCCCTGAGGCTGATCTAGATGAAGGATAAGTTCTGAAAACTCTGCCTTTGGGTTTTGCCCTTCCCCCTGGTGGCAGATCAGGAGCACAGCTGGTCTTTTCTTCTCAGTCATTTCAAGATCAGTAATGAATGCTGTTCGGTAACTGTTCTAATTTAAATTTCATTGATTCTGGATATAGATGGAAAATTGTGTTTTGACAGAGAGTAAAGACAGTTTCATGGCATCTAAAGTACTGGAAGAACTTGCACACAAGTGTTGTTTGTGTGCCTAATAGAAGGAATTAATATGCCTGTTTCTATGTCAGTTATACAGATAGTGGGATAAGACAAAAAAAGTAAGAGTCTAGAAATTATCAACAGTTGACAGTACAATTTGGTGGGTGAGAATGAGGACTTCAAAATCATAAAGAACTAGATTCTGATGTATTCTGATGTTGATCTACCAATGTAGGATCTTGTGAACCTTTATCTTCTCAAAGGTGGAGAAAAAGAAAAACTTTGCTTTGGCCAATAACTTGGTTGCTTAGACTTTTTCGATCTGTTTTCTCACCTGTTGGGTGAGAACAATAAGCAATGCTGTGGGCCTTGTGAGACTGAGTCGCATGGCACGGTGGCAGGCCTGCTGTAAGTGCTCAAAAAGAGGGTGGTGTAGATGAGGGGGGAAAATACCTGTCATAGATTTGTTTGTTTAATTAATAAGGATCTTTGTTGTCTCTGAGAAGAGATAGCAAGACATACTCTTGAAAGACATTTAACAAATCCTGAGCCTCTTAGTTTGTATTTATTTCTGTTTTTTCCCTTTTTCTGTTATTTTAGCTGCTGTAGATTGCCTTAGCTGGGAAGTTGCTGGTATTTGCTTCATCGCCTCCTCTTTGGTGTCAGTGTCGGTGATTTCCAAGCTCTTTACTTTCTTCGTGGAGATGATCTTTGTAACAAAATAATTCTTTGAGAGTTTTTCTTGCACCTATCCATTCACTTGGTTCTTATAGTTAAGGGTCTTCTCTGCTTTTTAAAGTGCAGACATGTGTGTTCCTGTCACTGAATTCCTTATTATTATTCCTTATTAATTTCCTGTCACTGAACTCCTTATTAATTATTATTCTTTATTAATAACTTCCTTATTAATTATTAATATTTTTCTTGAAATATGTTTGAGTAATACTTATAACTCCGGGTGCTGACCCTCACTAGTGAGAAGAGGGGACGTCCTGGCAGCATGGAGTGGTATCCGGCCCCTTGTGACAGATCCCAAGTCTGCAGATACTCAGTCCATCTCCCGAAATCACGTTGTCGATGTCAGCGAGAGCGGCCTTATCACTATAGCAGGTATGAGATCCTACTTTGTCATTTGGATGTGCTTTACATATGAGCTGGACTTAAATTGTCCCACCAAAGTCTCTGTCAACTCTCATGAAGAAGGATTTTCTGTTTATGATTCTGAGTGAAGCCTTGCACATTACTTTGCCACACTTGCTATAAACAATAGGTGAATTCTTTTATTACCAAGTTGATAAATGGTTAATTGTAGGAAGAGTAAGGCACGTCGACCTAATCAATTATCTGTCAACTTCTCTGTAGGTGGGAAGTGGACGACCTATCGATCTATGGCAGAAGATACCATAAATGCTGCTATCAAGACTCACAATTTGAAAGCAGGACCAAGCAGAACGGTTGGGCTTTTCCTTCAAGGAGGGAAAGATTGGAGCCCCACACTCTATATTAGGCTTGTCCAGGATTACGGCCTTGAAAGTGAGGTGGGTTTGCATTGCCATGTCATCCTACTCTGTAGGTAATCTCTCCCTGTTGCCGGGAACAGAATTGGCAACTATGATGTGACTTTCTTAATTTAGACTTTTCTTTTGCTGGATATGTTTCTGTATGGGTACTGTGGAAATAAATTAGGAAAAAACTTTGCTTTAGTTGCCCCAGAAGCCATGTACATTTTAGTTAGGTTTCGTTAAAACCCAGCGTTTATTGGGTTTGTTCCTAGACATGACATCCCCAGTTCTTTCCATCTCAAGCATAAGAATGCTGTTCTTCAGAAGTGATGTCTGGAGCAAAGTGAAGCTGAAGCTTCATCAGTCACTGCTCCAGTGATGCATGTGTGGTAGGGTGAGTGCTTGCCTAAGCATTCGAAGCCCAAGTGGGTTCCTCCCACAGAATCACAATCGAACACTCTGCAGGAGCTATTAGTTAGAGGCTAACAGAAAACTGACAAGATAAGCATGTGCCTTTTGGGCTTTGTACCTGGGAGACATGATATTCAAAGTACCTGCCTAATGCAGCTTTGTTTCTCTAGGTGGCCCAACATCTTGCCACCACCTACGGTGATAAGGCTTTTGAGGTGGCCAAAATGGCAAGTGTGACTGGCAAGAGGTGGCCTGTTGTGGGAGTGCGACTTGTGTCCGAATTCCCATATATTGAGGCAGAGGTATGTGAACGGGCACGTGGGAACTTCTTATCTGCCATGAGACACCTTTCATCTGTTCAGTTTTTATCTTCTTTGAAAATTATATGTAGCTAAGTTTTACTGCACATGTGTCACTAAAGCCTGGAATAAAATGATTTTCCAGTGCAGATTATTTCCTTTACAAGGTTTTAATTTTATTTCCAAAGTGATGTTAATAGTGGTAATAATAACAATATGGATCTCCCCCCCCCCATAGAGCTATTTTAAATCATATTAATCCACAGTTGTCCCTTTAGTGATTTTGTAGCTCTTTATGTTTGTACCACCCATGTCCTGCCAGGTGACATACATTAATGTGACAGTATTTTAAAGACTTAAAACTTGTTTCTCATCAAGCTTTCAAGTCGTAGGAAACCAGAGACCATGCATGTATTTATTTGTAAATTCACAGTGCCTTGAAATGCTGATGTTTGTTAAGCATTTACCTTATTGATTGAATTCAGGGTTTCTGTCACCTGGTCACTCTAAGCCATGAGAGTATAACTTTCTACACTCGTCCTGTGCCTGTTCAGCTGTGTCGATTAACATCCACATTATGTATAAGCGGAGAGAGTTAAGTGATTATTGTGGATGGTTAATGAGAAGTGATGCCGTTTGCATGTTTATGTCGGGCTCTATTCAGGAAGAAGGCATTAACTCCTGTCCAATTTATCCTGTTTTCCGAACCTCCTTTGGCAGGCAGATGGAGGATCTGTGTGATGCCACTATTTGTCTCATGCTTGCTGGAGAACCAGAGAGGATAAAGAAAAATGCCACCTTTCTGAAGCGTGAATTTATTTTTTCAGTGAAACTTTATTTCATCTTTCTAGAGAAAGGTCTAAATTAATAATATTTCTTTAATTCAAACTCAGGTGAAATATGGGATTAAGGAGTATGCCTGCACCGCAGTGGATATGATTTCACGGCGCACTCGCCTGGCATTTCTGAACGTCCAGGCCGCCGAGGAAGCCCTACCCAGGATTGTTGAACTGATGGGCAGAGAACTGAACTGGGATGATTATAAGAAAGAGGTATTATTGAGAAGTCTTTAAAACTGTGGTTCTCACTCTATACATGAAATGGTTTGATCTGTTTGAGGAGAGGCTAGCATAATTTTTAATGATGACCCAGATTTCTTGCAGCGTCTGCATGTGTGTATGTATTTAGTATTGTCTTGTACCAAACTTTAGTTATTCTTGGAAAATCTCTTAAAGAAAAATGCTCTTAAATTTGTGGTCATAATTCCTGAAGAAGAAAGATAATAATGATGGTGGGATAGGACCTTTTATGGTTTTCATTGAAAACAATCTTAGAACATATCCAGTGAAATTCACACTCCCGCTAATTTGCCTTTGGTAAGAAATAGTGGTTTTACTGCCTGACCACCAAGTGCTTATTGTTTGTGTCATTTGAGATTTTATACTTATGTTCAGATTTAAAGGCCAGTGATGCTTACATGGTCACATATACATATTTGGACAAGATTAGGCATGTTGTAATAAACAGAAGACTCCATGTTGTTTCATTAACCCAAACTACTGTGATAAACAGGCATGTGCAGCATTTCTGGATATTTATTCATATAGTGCTTGCTGTACTCCTTGGGATTAGTTCCCAAGTCTGTCTTGAACCCATTCCATTTAGGTTCTTCTGAAACCATTTTGTTGTATTAGCTCTGGTCAGTCTCCCCAGTGACCTATATGTTGCTCAATATACTTGGTAACTGTTGGTCCTCTTTTTTTTTTTGTTTGAGACAGAGTCTCATTATGTCACCCTGGGTAGAGTGCTGTGACATCACAGCTCACAGCAACTTTAAACTCCTGGGCTTAAGCAATTCTCTTGCCTCAGCCTCCCAAGTAGCTGGACCTACAGGCATGTACCACAGTGCCCCTGGCTATTATTTTTATTGCTGTTGTCATTGTTGTTTAGCAGGTCCGGCCAAGTTCAGACCCACCAGCCCTGGTGCATGTGGCTGGTGCCCTAACCCCTGCACTATGGGCGCTGAGCCTCGGTCCTCATTTTGCATGACCTTCATCATAGTTGATTCTGTGCTCCTTCTTGAACTTTTCTTTTACTTTCTAGAACACCTTTCCTGATCTCCTTTTACCTCTCCCAAACTACTACTGCTAAAGACTTCTCCATGTCGTAAATAGCTATTCTACCCTTCGGTTGCTCATGTCAAAACTGTTATATCCTACTTAACATATTCTCTCACACCTTATCTAAGTCCACCAACAAATCTTGTCAAATCTGTCTTCAAGCAATGGCTTGAATTCAATTATCCCTTAACACATTCAACTGCCATCACTGATTCAGGAAAGTAACATCTGTCACATGGATCATTGTAATAGTTTCCCTCCCCCCATCTGGTGTCCTTTCTTAGTGCTTCAGTTTATTAAAATATGATCTAGATCACTGGCTATTTCAGCCTGAAATTGGAGAGGAGGCCTGGGCTGGAAGTATACATATGAGTTGATATTTAGGCCATCAGACTGGCTACGTAGGCAGTTAGTGTAGTTAACTACAGACAACTTTGGACAAGAGTGGTCCAAAAACTGACTCCTGTTGTACATAAAAAGTTAGAAGTTGAGGAGATAAGGAAGAATCCAGGAAAAAAGAAAGTAATGGCTAATGAAATTGGAGGAGGTATGAGAAGAGTCCAGAGGCAGTCATGACCCAGAAGGTAAGGAAGAAAATATGTCTTTTCGTCTGTTTGGATTACTCTCAGAGAAATACCACAGAGTGGGTGGCTTAACAGCAAATGTCTGATTCTCAGTTTTAGAGGCTGGGAAGTCCAAGGTGACCAGTAGATCTGAGGTCTGGGGGAACCCTGCTTCCTGGTTCATAGACAGACATCTTCTTGCTGTGTCTTCACGTAGCATGAGTGAATGGATATTATGAGCATCTGTGCTGAAGGTGCTGGAAAGAAGTGGGCACATGGCTTGTCCTTCAAGCATTCTCATTCTGGTGTAGATTCCCTAAGAATCACCTGCAAATGAGGGGGAGGGGGGAGGAAGATTCTGAGGCTTCATAAACTGTCAGAGTGAGAATCTTTAGGAGGCTCATATTTTTAAAAATTATCCAGTAATTTTAATGTAATATACTAGTGGAGGCAAAAGATACAAAAGACTTATAGTAGAAGAAGCAAGCCCACAGAGTAAGTTCCTGTTGGAATTCATACAAGCAGTCAGTTGTGGGCTGGGGATTGAACACCAGCTGTTCTGGTCCTGGCATGAGAGCCCGCCTCGCCCTGCCCCTGCCCCTGCCCCTGCCCCTGCCCCTGCCCCTGCCTTAGCTGCAGTTTGTAGCTCTTCTAGGCTTGAGTTTCAGTGTGTTCAGCTAACTCTCTATACAGAGGGAGCACAGGAAGGAATCTTACTCCTGTACTATTGCCAGTCATTTTCACCATATAGAAATTTTGAGAATAATGTGTTCTTCTAAAAATTATGGTAGGGATGATTTGAATATGCAGGAACATATTATTTGCAATGAATTCAGGCCGTAGGAGGTAGGAAGAAGGGTGGAAATTCTATAAACTGGCTGTGTTTGGCCTTCCTGGGAAAGCTGGTTTCAACTTCAGTTCAAATTTTATGAACAGATCTATGTGTTCAGAAACACTCTCCCTTCCTCTTTAACAAAGAAACATAAATAAAAGACTTAAAGTTATTACTCAGTATCTGAGACAAAGGAGTATTAATGAGAGCTGTGGACAGTCTAGAGAGAACAAAGAAGAAGGAGAAAAAAGAATTAAAAGGTTAGAAAGTTGGACTTCTGAGAAAAGGTTAAAAGCATTGGGATTATTTAACCTGCAAAAGTGAAAGAGGAGCAAGGTGATAAATAACTCTCTGTAGATGAATTGTGGTTGTTTTTACCGGTCAATACTTAATGAGTGACTTGTATACTGAACACTGTACCAAATATTTTAGGGGAATAATAAATAGCTCATAGTTTCAAGGATCTTGACATTTAATTGGGTGGTTACAAAACATATGTATGTATATCCAAAATGTATGTATATTTTCCAAAATTTAGAGAAATATTTAGAGAAGCTGGCTTTCAAGATCAAAATTCCACCAACTTGGAAGAATTAATTAAGGAGGAAGGCGATATCTGAGGGAGCCGGGGGCTGGTAGAGAAGTGGGTAGGCATGTTTAGAGAGAATGGCACTGCCAAATTGTATTCTGCAGGGAGGAATCAGTGTATGTGAAAAGGCAACTACCTGGTCAAAAGAGGGTGCGAATTCTGAGTTAAATAAAAGTATTTCCTCTAGTGCAGATAATCTGGAACCTTGAAAATGGTTATGTGTGTTTTCATTTTCCGAAAGGGAACTTATCTGGAGACAGACCCAACTCTCATTTTTTTGTGAGAGGTAGGTGCAAAAGAAGACTAGTAATGCTTAAGACATTTTTGGGAAGTGCTGCTCTGTGGGATTTGGTAAGATAAATTTTATAACATTCAGGCAAAAGATACATGCTTTATTGACACTTGTAAAGAGAAGACACTTAAGTAGGTTGAGAGAGTCTCATAAAAAGAAATTTCTTGTTTTCAAAATCGATTTCAATTGGGAGGAAAAAGGGGCACAAGTAAGGATATGGGGATATGGAGTGACTGTGGACAAAGCGAGCCAATAAAAACCAAATTTAAAGGACAAATTTGGGAGCCAAATGCTTCACAATGAAAGGAAGTGTATCAGGAATAACATGGATTTATACGAATAGTGTCAGGTGTTGTTTTTGAGTGTTGGGGAATAAATGCTAAGAGCACCAAAAATAACTTCTAAAAATTAAAAAAAATTGAGGCCTAACCTAGATTTTAGCTTTAGGTGACAAGCATCACATTCTTGAATATTGGAGGGAAATGAAAATTATTCAACTTAGAGTTTAATACCAATGTGTTATTTCTTCTCTCTCTCTGGTTTTCACATGTAAAAAGAGTAAAATATAAATATTGGTAAGAGGAAATAGATATTCAGATAGGAGGCTACTCTAAGTTTTATGCTAGCCCAGAAAAATTATCTCCCAGAGAATCTGCAGTTGGGATTATTTACCTACTGTTGATCCTTATAATATTCAGCCAATAGGAAAGGGACCAGAAGACAGAAGGTATGCAAATGTAGTACCAAATTTAAAAAATGAGAGGAAAGAAAAACATAGTTTGCAACCTAGAAATCAGTGGATTTGGCATCGATCCTGGGTGGTTTTCTAGATTATAGTATTTTAAGTTTGTTTTATCAGCATTTAGCAAGAAGTAGTGGTCACTGGAAACTAGTAAGAAATTACTTACATAAAATCATTTCAGACTTCTCATCTTTTTACATAGAAAAAAGAGATTGTTAGATTAGGGAAACGTTAGAGACATAATATTGGATTCTGTAAAGTAGTCTGTAAAGCCCCATGTCATATATTTGTAAAACTGGTAGATTCATGATGAGTTAAATGACCAGTGTTGGGATCAGAAAAGGTCTGTCATAGCAGGTTATAAGAAGTCCTTGGTCTTGACCTAGTCTACCTTGGTTCAAGTGATTAGATTATAATGTTGATGGCCTCTTTGGTATACCAGTAACAAGAACTAGAAGGAGAGTGAATGTTTAATGGTGAAATGAAACAAAGGGTGAAATTTCATTAGGGTATAATTTAATAGATAAATGGCAAACCTTATGTTAGATAGAAAAACAACTCCATCCATTCGAGATAGATTTGACAAGGCTTAACAGGAACATATGTGAAAAAGAAATATGGTTTTAGTTAACTGTGAATGTATAGCCATTAACAGTGGTCTATGGCTGCCTCAAAATCCAATTGCAATCTTAAACTGTATTAATAGAAATCATATATCTAGATTGATGAAGCTGATAGTAATTCCCTTCTAGGTATTTGCCAGATCTCTGTTGAAATATTATGTTTTGTTCTGATAACTGTATTATAAGACAGACCAGTTGGGGTCTGGAAGAAATTACCTACCATGGCATAGCGATTCAAAATCATGTCTTATACAGAAGAGTAGATGAGACTAAAAGAAAACTCTAAAGAGAAAAGCACATGATACGATCTTTAAATGCTTGTTAACCTGTGATATTGGGGGGAGGAACCTCTGTGTGTTCTACTATGGGAACGTTTTGCTAATCTCAGACAAATTAGATGAATTATAAAGAGGTAGGATTTAATCTCAACACAAACTTGCTAATGATTGGAGCCATCTCTTTATGGACTACCTTCAGTGGTATAAAATTATCTTTCTATTACTAGAGTAGTCTAGGAGGCTTCATACTTCCATTTTTTGCATAACAAAAATGTTGAGTTAGAAAAGTATATTTTGTGACTTTCAAGGAGAAGTCTCTTCTGGCTTTGATTTTCCATGATTCCTTGCTTGATGGAATATTATAAATTACACAGGCAATGAAAGGATGAGACTGAGGAAGAGATTGTTGTTGGAAGGCAGCATCAGAGATGGCGTTTTCAAGGAGATGAATTTTAAACCAGTTTTGTCAAAAAAGGCTAGGCAAAATTGGAGGAAAGGAAAATAATTTTATTTATGATGACTGGTAAATTTTCTAGTGTGAGGAGAGAATTCTGTCAGCAAGGAATGCCCTTATAGATGAAGACTTCACAGACCGGTTTTATGTCTGTTATCCATTACATATATGTATGTGCATATAATTTTAATTTATTTTTTAATCTGAGAGAATTTGTGTTGATAACATTTATTTTGCTTTAAGAACAACAAAGAAGAACATTTTTTAAGTATCTATTTCCCAAGAGAAAGGAAAATAAGAAAGTATAATCCCAGAAAAAGTTACCTGTTCCAGAAAAGAAGAGTCGGAGGTCTTACTACTGACATAAAAAAACACATAAAAACACATTGCATGCAAACGCGTGTGCCATTGTTTTATTAATATTATCCTCCTTTTACTGACATAAATTGGTACTCTTCTTCAAACCAGAATTTGGAAACCATGAGGCAATGAGATTATTTGATGGGATGTTGGGGGATTCAAGACTTGTATATTAGTCAGTGTTTGCTAGATTATACTGTATAACAGGAAATTTCTAAATGTCAGTGGCTTATCCTCGCAAACATTCCTTTCCCACTTAGATTACATGAAGGCTGCACCCTAGCTGCTGGGGCTTTTCTCTGGATTTCAAGGTTGGCTCAGGTCTCATCTGAAATGTGCCCTTCATATGGCATAGAAACGGGAAAGGCTAAGCAAAACCCGAAAGTCACTTCTAAAAAGTTGGTCTTAAGGTTTTGTATTTGTGCAAATTTATAGGGTACAGGAAAGCTTTGTTACCTATATATAATGCATGGTGATTCAGTTAGGGTTTGAGGGCATTCCTCACTCGAGTACGAGATATCTTTGTTGAACATAGTCATTCTACTCTGCTATCGAATACTGGATTTATTCCTTTGATATTCCTATATGTTTTCACCCTTAATCCACTTCTTTTATCCTCCATCTCTTCTCCACTCACACTTCCCAGGCTCTTTTACCTATTTTTCTACTCTCTACATCCACATGTTCATATAAGAGAGAATATGCACTGTTTGTCTTTTCGTGCCTTTTGAAGCATTTACACAGAATTGGTATATATCATACCCATTCATGGTCCATTGGCCAAAGTAGATCAGTTGGCCAGCCCACATCAATAAGAGAAGTGTATATATGAGGAAAAGTGTGCATGGTGGTAGGGAGCCAGGTAAGAGAGATTTGTATAAAATATGCACTAACATGGAATCATTTTGGAAGTTATTAGATGGGAGAGTGACATAATGAAAACTAAGAGAGTTTTTGCAGGAGGAGTTAGCATCAGTTGAGACTGGGACAGGGAATAGGAAAAGTAACTACTGAGGATAGCATATTTTGTCTCATGATTCTGCAACTTTCAACAATCAGAGCCCCAGTAGCAAAAAATTTCAGTGCAGCTGATCTCATGAGAGCTGCCTTGGCACTTCACACCACATTATAGTAGTTGCCCAAATCCTAGATGCCTTCACTTTTAGTTGCTTTTTTGTCTTCAAACAACAAAGATTTGGTCCTGTAGGTTTTGCTGATCATTTCTATATAGGAATACTCACAGTAAAACTAAATGAAATATCAAAACCTGCAGCAAGATGAGTGAAGCTGAGGATCATTTTGCTGTGTGAAAGCCGTCAAACACCAGGCTACATGCCATACGAAACATTTTATATCAAATTCCAGGAGAGGAACGCTCTGGGGACAGGAAGCAGCTCAATGGTTGCCTAGGGATAGAGGTCAGGGGAAGGAGCGACTGCAGATACACATGAGGAAGGTTTTAGGAGAATGGATATGTCCTACATTTTAATCATGGTAGACTATATATTTTATTGAATATAAATTGTACCTCAGTAAACCTGGAATCATGCTGATCAGATAGATAAGTGAGGATCAGCTTCTACTTTTGAAGACGAACAGAAAAAAGTGGGCAAAGCAATCAATAATTCTTTCCTTTAAACTTGGAACATTGTGTGTGTTTCTGTTTTAGGAAGAACTTGAAACAGCCAAGAAGTTTCTGTATTATGAAATGGGCTACAAATCTCGATCAGAACAGTTAACGGACCGCTCTGAAATTAGCCTAATGCCTTCAGACATAGACAGGTACTTCTTCTAAGTCTCTTTATTTCTCTCTCTTTTTTTTTAATCTATGTTAGGATATTTTTCCATTATTCAATGTTATGTTCCAGGTACAAGAAGAGATTTCATAAGTTTGATGAAGACCAGAAAGGCTTTATTACCATTGTTGATGTTCAGCGTGTATTAGAGGTAATTTTCTATAATTCGGCGTCAGTCTCTGATAGGAGAATACTATAAAGGTGGTATTAGATATTTTTTCTCATCTGATACTTTCTACAAGTACTGTTTTCATTGTCATTTTTAAAAGTTCGGTAACAATAAAAGTATATGCATTATTTATAATTATATCTCATTATTCTGTGCTTTTCTTTTACTTAGAGTATCAATATCCAGATGGATGAAAATACACTACATGAAATTTTGAATGAAGTAGATTTGAATAAAAATGGACAGGTTGAACTCAATGAATTTTTGCAGGTGAGTTGTGGTGAAAGGAAACGATGTATTTGCTTCCATCTTTTGGTTGTCATGATCATAAATGGATGTTCAAGAGTAGATTTTTAAGACAACATAATTGTCATTTTGTTCTGAAAAAGAAGAAAGCCTGAAACCAGCAAAGGGAGAACATCTGCCCTCAAGGATAAGGCAGTACTTTGGGACATGCTTTTTTTGTTGTTGTTTTTTTTTTTTTAATAAGAACATTCTGTTAGGTCAGTTAATTGAAATTTAAAGCCAAGCTATTTATGGTTTAAATAGTTGAATACGAAGCCTGCTTTTTAAAGAAATATGCCACAAAATGTCCCTCCTGGAATTTTCTATACTTCTTTCAAAACAGGCAACACAATATTTCCAATGTGGAAAGTAATTTTTTGTGGAGGAAGTTTAAATAGTTATTGGTCTATTCATTTAAGAATTATAGAGAATGTAATCATTGGATTCTTATGTTGTAAAGAACCAGAAAAGCAAAAGGAAGGAGATGTGTACGCTGGGGTCGGGACCATACATTTAAATATTTCCATTTCCAAGTTCAACTTATTCAAGGCTTGGTTGTTTAATCTTTGCAGCCCGTCAGGAAATAAATTTTGTTGTTTTAACTTTAAACTGGATGCTATACAGCATTCCTTAAAAGTTCCTTAAAAGAAAGAAATTCAATCAACCCATACATTATTTGTAGCTGTCTGTATGACTCTGATCATATGAAGAATGTATTGGTTTCCAAGCAGCCAGGGTTTTTTTTTTTTTTTTTTCTTGGGCAGGTATTTCAAATGAATGCCAGGTCTTGCTTGCACCATGGCAATGATGAATGCTGAACATGAAATAAATTAATGCTGGGGATTTTGGTCAATGTCAGCCCTTTCTTCACTGTGTCAAGTTAAACAAACAAGATCAAGGCAAAGGAAATGGTAATTGTCTCTCTGGAGATGAGCTGCAGATAAGAGCATTGTTGAATCTAAATGCAGAAAATTTTCACAGGTTGTGTCCAGCATTACAAAAAAGAATGTTTAGTTCTTTAGCTTACTGTTTAACTAAATGCACATTTTAAATTGTGCTTAAAATTTATGCCTGGGAACTGAATACTACCTAATGCATATGTTGTGTAGTTTTTCTAAGGATATTGTATGGCTTGTCTCAGAATTTTAGAAAACTTCTTCAAAGAAATGGCTTATGCTTCATTTCATGTCTGTTGTAAATAAACAGCAGAATTTAGGGTAAAAAGAATTAGGGTTTTAGAAACAATAACAATCTAATTTGGGGATATGTTTTATGGCTTGATCTTTCAGTAATTTTCTTGAATGCGCTAGAGTTAAAAACGTAGAAAATAACTTAAACCATTTCCAGGTTTTCTTACAGAATTTTTTAAATAACTGAGTATTTCTTGTCCAACTCAAAATGAAAGAGACTATTCATGCTTCTCCTAAGTAGAAATATATAGACTGTAATTTTCAACTTAAGAAATGCTGACCATATTTCTATGAAATATATTCACACCTAAATGTTATTTTTTTTCTTGTAATATGGTTTCTAGATACAGTTGTGTTTAAAGAAAATGTTGCATTTTTGGAGATTTGTGCATTATGTCCTGCTAACAAAATTTCTAGCTTTGCCAGTTTGTTAACTCTGAGAAGCTTTGAAGGTCTTCCTGACATCAGAGACAAAACAATAAACAATAAATTTTTCTGTCTTTAGATATCAGCATTCTGTATATTACATCATCCCTCAGATGTAATGTGTGTCTTTAGGGCTTTTTGTGTAAAATATTTTCCTCTTCTGAAGAATAAGAACCCACATGTGACACGTTAAACATCTTTTTTGAATATAGACATGGGTTTTCAGCAATCTTCATAGAAGGATCATTATCGGTATTACTTAGTTACATGTCTTTATATCTAAGTTTGGGCTTCTGCATGTAGGAGTCCGTCTCTAATAAGTGACAGCTTGTGAACAGCTTTTAATAAGGTCATGAAATTCTGACACTTACTCAGAGCTAGTTTTAAGAAATGCACCTCGATAGCCTAAAATCTATGACCCTAAACATATTTTGAGAATTTTCATGTATATTTTTTTCTGATGAATGGCTAAATGTGTTCTTTTTTAAGTAAATAAATAAAAAAAGATTGAGGAAGTAAGATCAAGAAAAGCAAATAGTTAAAATCACATTAACTTGAAATGGAAAAAAATCCCCATGCTCATAATTGCAAAGTGCCTTCCAGATTAAAGGCCTTTGCCTGCTGACTGCATGTAATTTCAAGACTAATTCTGATTTTATCCATTGGATAAAAATGAATTAGCTAAAATCTGGGCTGTGGAGTGCCTTTAATTCTTAAGGTAGATCTCTGGGTCCATTTTCAAGGACTTAAATGTAAATTACTTTAAAAAGTCTTTAAGGAATTTGGATTTAGGGGACTTGAAGTTGTCAAGTACAGTAACACTGAAAGAGGGTAGATAAATATAGGTCATGATTTGTCTTAGTTCAATCCCTGAGATTCCCTTTTAAGATTTTTACATGGAATTAAAGATCCAATATTTGAAGTTGCTTAAACAAAAAAAAAAAAAAGGAGAAAAAAGTGTCCGGAGCACATTAAGGTACAAGAAATGATGCATGAAGATTTTTTTTCAGAGGCAGCCTGAATTGCTACATAGATGTGGCTTTTGCAGCACTGGTGAAGTACCCGGCCCTTCTCCTTTTTTTGAAATTGTTAAAAATTGTACTTTTATTATTTGAGTTGTAGTACTTGTTAATGGTTGTTGATGAAGCTCTCCTCTGCCCACTGTAATGATAACCATTAAATGCTATGAAGAAGGACGTAAGCTGGCCTCTCTTCTGACTCTGTTCCATATTTTCCCTTTAAGCTAATGAGTGCTATTCAAAAAGGAAGGGTGTCTGGAAGCCGGCTTGCTATACTCATGAAAACTGCGGAAGAGAACCTTGACAGAAGAGTTACAATTCCAGTGGACCGTAGTTGTGGAGGATTGTGAGTCTGGGCAGTAAACCCACAGCCAACAAACACGGGAACAACAAACCACCATGTAACAACCAGAGATGACTTAAACAACTCTAAAATAGTGAATATGAATAGCTGCCTTTTTTTTTTTTTTTTTAACACTGGAAGACATTCCAAAACTTTAGGGTGTTGGTATATTTGCCAACCTTCTATGCTGATATTTGTATATGACATTCAATCTAGCTTCTAGAAAGTACATTTTATCCTTTTTTCTTATTTTCAGTGCACACTGATTTAACATTTTACATCCATTTTGTGACCCGTTAGACTTAACATGCTCCTTTTTTATTATTCATTTATTCTAAATCAGTTCTGAGGGTAGAATATTTTGGCAACAATTGAAAAAGGAAGCTAGAGAAATTTTGTGACATCCACAAAGCACCGGACATTAACCTTATACATAGCATTTGTTAAAAAGAGTGACCTACTGAAGTGATAGTATTTCTGGAAACTTTTCAGCCTCTTCTTTTTCCAGCTGGTCTACCTGCCCCATCTAAATAATATTTACCAATATTGCATAATTTTCTATCTAAAACCATATAGACTGGCAAATTGGAGAGAGAAGAAAAAGTTTAGATCTGGTTACAGGAGAAAGTCTCAAAGAGAAACTTTGAAAGCTTCCAGAATCACAGGTGTAAGATAAGGATAGAATTGACATTTGCTGGAAGTTACAGTGATAGTTTCATCTCAGCGGTTCATTTTTTTCTTCAGTCGCTGCTGGTTTTCTTTGACTATCATAGTTGCCAGGAAGATCCCTGCTTTTCTTACTTTAAAACCAGCATTCAAGTGGCAAGTTAGATGTAATGGGATGAAACCAAATTTCTCTAGTCTTTACAGTAATAATACATTTAAGAACATCTGTTTATATATTTGCATATGATAATACAAGTTTCAATCCCCAAATCCTAAATTTTGGAGCTTGTGGTATTGTCAGACTTGGCTTATCACTCTTGGGGGGTATCTGCAAACATCAATTAAAGAGGATACAGCAGACTTTAGTTAACTTTAATTATATGTTAAATAAAACACTTCAATATCCTAGGTCATTGTGGTTGCTTAAAGCCTTTCCCCTCCTGTACTCAATGGAAATATTCTCAGTCAACCGAAAATAAAAATGAAAAAAATCGCCCTTCCCCCCTCCAGCTCCCCCAAAGCCAAAATCAATGTGCATTGAATTTAAAAAGTAACGTGTTGAATTTAAAAAAGCCAGTTTGGGAAACATTTGCTACATTTTGGTGGCATTTTAACAAGTCATCTGGATATTTATTAATCGTGCTTCCTCTTGTGAAGCTATCTGACCATTTACTCTTTTGTGTTTTTAAGATCAGGTTCCGTATGTAATAGGAAATGTAACACTTTATTTCACTGCAGGTTTTTATTGCACAGATTTGAAGTCTTAGTTTTTTAAACTTGTACATAAAACACTTTTGTGCTGTTATCGCTATTTATGTCAATATTATAGAATATCTAAATGCCTTATTCAAGTGAGTTAGGAACCCGTATGTCACAATAGAAACACTGGAGGTTCTCTCCCCTAAGCCCTTACCCACCACTTCTGAAACAAACAGAAACCACAGGGAAAGGCAGCGTCTTAACTCATTTGGTTTTTAAGTGACATTTAGATACTTGCTGCTTCCTAAAGAAAAAACCTGAAAGAGTAAGGGAAGTTCCCAGGGATCACTGTGAACTTTTTTCTTTCAAAGTGTGAATTTTTACACTGGCTTTCTCTTTTTCTTTTCTTTCTTTTTTTTTTTAAACAAGTGTGACTTTACTATTTAGTGTTTTTTTACTGAGACAATAAATTTCACTGTTAGAACCCAGTGCCACTCACTAGGTAGAAATGTCCTTTTAAACATCCCAGATGATAAACCACAATATTGTACATTTGTGCTCTCTCTCTCTCTCTCTTTCTCTCTTTCTAGTTAGATCAAGATACCAGCGACTGTATCCTCCCTGGTTCCATTACAGTAGGGACTGGGCTTAGAATGTGACTGGCCCAGGCAGATACGTGTTTGTTAAATAGGTCTGTGTGTGCGCGCTTTGCTATGAGTGAAGTTCCTTTAAGGACAAAGGAAAAGCACACTTTTCTTCTTTTGAGCATATCTGCTTTTGCTTAAAATCTGCTAAATTCTTAAACACACAGTCCTTCACCAATCCCAGAGGCTCCTTTGGAAATAAATTGGTTTTAAGACGTTACTGTGAATAAAACACCCCAGCATTTTTTTTTTTTTTTTTTTTTACAATTTCTTAATTAAACCTGTAGAGCTTCTTTACCTGATTTAAGAAAGGCAGGGGGAATATAGGGGAATAAGCCCCTTCCAAACTCATTCCAAGCACAAAAGAATTTTTTTCTTTTGATATAAACTTGATAATGGTTGTTTCTGTTGGGGTGGGGGTAAGGGTCACAAAGATTGCCTTTCATCATCAAGTGATTTATTTTAAGAGCCTTAAGGGGATTCAGGTGAAGGAACCCCCGCCTCTGTGATGGAGAGTCGGATACTACCTTAAATCGCCCCCACCATGGTCGTAACAATAGTGACAATGCTGGATTATTTGTTAAGCCAAGGGTGTCTATCCATCATGCTGTTGATAATATTCTTGCCTTCAAGCAATTTCTACTGAATGTAACTTTGGGATTTCTGCTATTAAATGCATGCTCCCTATTCTGCTTTGGTTTCTGCTTTGGTTGTGTCTGTTGCAGAATATGTAGCTTTCTCTTTGGTACAACAAAAATTTCATTCTGACTTTTACTGAACATATTGTTAAGAGTCACCATTGATCGTTCTTTCATTTTTATGTATCTGTAATGGTTTTGGTGTATGAATGTAATATTGAAGTTAAAGATGCTATAACTTGCACTGTTTTGCATTATGTCAACCGTGTTTAGCAAATGTAAAAGCCCTACTATGTTTTTAAAAATATCAAATATAAGCCCAATGCTGGTGTGGATACACGCACTGCATGTTTTCATATGTGACACTTTTATGTTCTGTGTTGGTTATTGTTCTAGATTGGACTGTTAAATACTGTGTTTGAGGCTGGGTTGTCATTTTTATAACTGTCTTGGTGTTTTATCGCCATTATTTATTACTTTTGATATACAGAATGAGCTGCATGCATTTATAGAGCAATAAGAGGATGTATTTAATGTGCCTTGTTTTTAACTGAATAAGAACTGGAAGCATGAATCAATAAAGCTGATTAAAATGGTCCATTTGCTGGCATTTTGATGTTACTTGCATTCAGACAAATAACTTCGATTGCTGTTGAAGTTAAAAAAGAAAGTTTGAAAATATTCCCACAAACTATGTTTTAGTGACACAAAAGTGAAATATCTACATAGATGTAATTTTATGAGCCTGCCAGAGTTATTTGTATTAATTTGTTGCTACAGCCTGTAAGGCATGGCTTCTGTATTTGTGCAATCCTATTCTAAAATTACATTCATCCTATTACAACTCAGTTGAATTCCTTTCTTCCTTTCTCTCTCTCTCCCTTTTTTTTTTTTTTTTTTTTATCAACCAGAGCCTTTTGGCCTAAGTGTTCCCAGGCACACTGATGAATTTTATCATAACTAAAATCAATAGAAATGAATGGGAAAGATTACATAATCCATTTTGATCATCTTACATGTCAAGTTAGTGCAGGGTTGCCAAGTGTTGATAAATGCTCTGCTAGAAAAAAATGCTATATATTTTCATTGTCAGTAAATCAGTAAAGCTGTTATCAGTTTTAACACAAATTTTATAATGCCCATGTTATTTTATGGGTTTTAATTTACACGTGTCTATGGAGCGTATTCTCCATTTGTGGTTCAGATGCGCTGCCTCCTGCTTCTGCCTGCTCAAAGATGCGTGTGAGCTCCTGAAGGTTCTTTGAAATTGTGCAGAATGCACTAAAGCAATGGCTTCCAGACCCACTTGGAATAATGAACTGTTTGTTCAGTGCCTGTAAAAAACACGTAGCTACTTAAAACATCTTTAATTGAACTGGTTTACAAATTTGATAGGACTTGAAAATTTGTCAACATAAAATTTATCAAAGTATTGCCTCCGGTTTTTTTGAATGTACAAAATATATGGTCATTGACACAAAAGGGAAATACGATGCAAGCATCAATAGTTTGCAGTCTCTGTCAGTGTTACATCATCAGCTGTCAGGGTTCCCTGATAACATCTGACTTACAAGGAAGGAAAGAACAAAAATTTTAAATGGATCTGGCACCCTCATGATAAAAAATGTCGTTCAGGAGGCAGAAATGATGAGCCTTTTGTTGCATGTGCTTCATATTTTAGGGCTCTAATTAGCTACCTAATTTGGGAAATGCAGGCCCAATATGTTGTACGTGAGCCTTGATGCCACTAGAAGATAGTCCTGCAGTTCCCGTACTACAAAGGTACTGGGCCCTTTACAAAAATCAATAGATAGTTTTATATTTTGTTAGCTGTCTGGTTAAGAGTAAGAAGATTCATGTGAGAGCAAAACACTGTCTTAGCAGAATGATCAGGACCACCTTTGTTCTCCACGTTTGCCATTGGATTGTATTGCCCAGCACAATCTATCATCAGTTCCCTGTCGACTGTATTCATGTTGGAGTTGCTTGGAACCGGGGAGATTAAGGCATGTGTCCTATAGTTGTAGGTAATGTATCATGTTTTAGTGAAAGAGATAGGAATGTTGAGTCTTACAGGACTCAGCTTAGAGATCAGAGCATAGCTCTTTTTTTTTTTTTATTGAATGGTAACTATGTACATTAATGCACTTCTGGGGCAGAGCATAGCTCTTAATACAGCTGGTTTCACCAGCTTCTGAGCCATTTCAGTCCACTGTCCTGTGACTTAAGCAGAGCACCCCCGCTCTCATTCTCTAGGCACAGTGGCTCCTGTAGAGTTCGGGTTTACTTTCTCTTTCGTTGGCTGCTGCTAGCTGGCCGCTGTCAGGAGTCGGAAGTATAATACAGAAAGGCCGTCCAGAAAGTATCCAGCTACATACTATGAAAAATCGAGATGTACATACGTGGCTGGATACTTTCCAGACAGCCCATGTATACATATTCTTTTGGCCCCAGAGCCTATAAAAGAATAGTTTTGGTTAAGAAAACATCTTGAATTGGAAGCTAGTTTTTCATAATCACAGAATTTTGTTTGGTTTTGTTTTATCCTTATACTGTAAAACCGGGTCTAAACTTTTTATTTTCAAATCCAACTTAGGCACATCTGATTTTGCTTTAAAAGATGCCTTATTGTTTAAGTGATGTAAATGTAACGAGCTCCAGTAAATATTACTGTTCTTTAATCTGGCCATAACGCCTACTTTTAAGCAAGAGATATATATCCTCTGCCCTGCCTCCTCCTCCCTCCAGAGTTTTAGAGTAAACATTCCCTTCTTCCTCCCTCTTAATTTGTTGCTTGTTAGATTTTCTTACCTCTGCTTCAATTTTTTTCCATCCTCATCATTAATTGAATTACATTTCATTTTTACGTGTATG